CTGGTTGGTTGTGTGTGCAGGGGGCGGCGCTGAGGAAGAGTCTGTCGCTGCAAAACGAAGCCGAGAACCAGCAACGCCGAAAGAGGTAGGTGCTCGTGCGCGTTGTGAATGCATAGAAGGAGGAATCGATGCCCTTGCTTGCCCTGTCTGTCTGTCTGTCTGTCTGCAGGTGGAAGGTGTGGCTGATTCGTGCGGCCATCCTGCTGTTCAACTATTGGCAGGCGTCTGAGAGTAAGCTAGCTAGCTGAGCGACCGGGCGGTGTGTGTCGTGGATGGAGTGTCGTGTGTGTATGTGTGCAGGGGTGCGTCAGGCGCAGCGGGATGCCGAGAGATGGGACGATGCCTTCCCCCCTTTCCCCTTGTTCTAGGCTAAGCTCACCTGGAGCTTCTCTCACATCGGCTCTTCGGACTTGCGTGCGGCCTCGATTGTATATATGTCTGAAGAGACAGAGACGCCCCGCCCCGTGGTGCTTGCAATTGCTTGCTTGATTCCTTCATACGTTCGTGTGTGTGTGTGTGTATATGGATATCCGTGTGGACCGGACACACGCTTTTTCTGATTGATTGTGTGGTATGAATTTACATACCAAGACTGGGGGCCCATCCCCTCCCGTGCGAACCACCGGAACTTCAGAACGCTGTTGCCGTGTTATTCTGTGGGAGCGTTTCTCGCTTGCCTTCTGCCGCTGTTCGTGACGTCTGCAGTGCTCAACGACACCCATGACACGTCTGAGTCGGCAAGCTCTGCAAGCCAGTCGCCCGAAAGGCAGCTGTCGGTCTTCTTCGACGGAACGGGGTGACACAGACACGCAAAATATGTGCTGCCTTGTCTGTGGTGCATGGCATTGCACTGTGTGTGGCGCTGAATGCAGCTCTCGCATCGTGGCGCCGGATGGTAATAAGCTGTGGCTGTCCTACTTGGCCGACATTTTCCGACGGACCGAAGGCATTGGCGAGTTGAGACAGTAGGCACAAAAAGACCTCGATGGCCTGCCTCTGCGTGTTTGAGTGTGGGTGTGGGTGTGGGCTGGTGGACTGCTTAGGTCCGATGCTCACCTGCCTCGACTGTCCAAGTGGTGGAATGAGCTGGGCGTTCTAGCCGACAGGGAAGGTATTGCAGCCGCCATCGCTCAGCCATGGAGTCATCGGAAGATCTACTTTCACGGTGCTTGTCTCGCTCTTCAGTAGACAGGCTCCAATGGTACGTATCGGTCCGGCTGCAGGGATCGGCACCAGCACTAAGGTGGGCATTGGTCCCACGAACGTCGCGCCGCTCAGTGCGATGACAGGGCATGAAGTCTCTGAAGGCGTCATCCGTGGATACAAGGTGCAAAAATGCTTCCAAGTGCCCTCGGTCCATCCATGATCTCTCTCTCTCTCTCTCTTTCTCGCATCGTTTGATGTGGGATGAATAACTCTTCAAATCAAGTGGCTGAGCACTGTCTATCGCTTCTTGGCAAAGAAGGACCGAATCTTCATCTTCGGCTGGTCGGTAAGTGGATCAGTGAGCGCACAGAGACACGCAGACAGGGCGGAACTCTGATATCACCCATCTATTCTCGTCCGCATCGCAGAGGGGGGCGGCTCAGGCCTTGATTCTGGCTGGAGCTCTGGCTCGACTGGGGCTGCCATATTCTGAAGGCTACAAGGCTGGCTGCTCATTGTCGAGCCCCAAGGACTGGGAGAACGTCGAAAAGGTCCTCAAACGGGGCTTTCACAAAGACAAGGAACGGGATTGCTACGAACCGGTAAGGAATGGACTTTTCCACGCCATCATATGTGTTGCAACCGGTAAAACCTTACGAGACCCAGGTGCAAGTCCAATTCGTTGGCCTCTTTGAGGCAATCTTGGCGGAGCACACGCCCAAAGGCATGAAGGCGGACTGGATGGGTCGATATGTCAATTTGCCGAGAAACTATTCGTCCAACATCAAAAGCATCTACCACGCCTTGGCACTGAATGAGTCCCTGCCTGGTAAAAGGCCAAAGAGAAATCATCCCTATCTCCTTCCCGGCTTGCATAGGTTTCCCTGGGAAAGAGGTCTCAAACGACTTCGCTGGATGTGAGAAGGACGAGGATGCGTGAGTGTTAGGAATATTCCGTTTTCTGTTTTGTGTCTCTGGGTGCTTATGCGATGTCTCAGATGTTCATAACGTTTGGTTCAATTGCGACCATGAGTGCGCACTCAGAGAAGAGAGATCAATCAGCCCGCACCAATGTTTTTGCACATGTGTTTTGCCTCACCAGATTCGATGAGGTCTCATTCGAATGGCTTTTGAACTCAGCCGTGCACGTGGGTGGACTGCGGCTGCGATCCAAGACCGACTACGCCGACGTGCATCACTTTGACAGATGGGATATGTACACGGTGCTGAAACACATCTCAGGTCGGCGAAAAGCAAACACGAGCCGACGAATGCACATACGTACGACATCCATCGTGCCGGTTCAGGCCTTTACAATAAGGTGGAGGACAGCTGGAGGCCTGCAGTGCGGTGTGCCTGGCGAAGAGACACCAATCTTGGTAGGCGCTGACGTCGTAATATGTGAAGAACAAAGCATGTACTGTGCTGTGGCCTGTCTAATGCAGCTCTCCATGAATCTGTCATAACGCAACTGGAGACGAGATCATTCACCCCCAAGCCCATCTGCTGCACCCCCAAGCTGTTCAACCAGCTTGTCACGGCTGGCCGAGTCATTTGCGAGAGGACACCGACAAAGGAGAACCCCACATCCGAATGTGACGCTCCCAGAGAGGACTATCCGAACCTGCCTGACCGGAAGGATTGCGTGCAGCTGAGTACCAAGCACCCAAAGGCTTTTGGAAACCAGTGCGGCGAAGCAAAGGACACCATTGAGATGGCGAAAGGTGACAGGCCCAAGGTGTGCACGTTCCGTGAGGCGGCAGGTGAGTGAGGGAAACAATCCATGGTCCAACAGGCAATATGTTTGGTCCATTCTCTTGCAACAGGGAACTGGTTCAAACACCCGAAAGTGGCTGATATGGAGTGAGGGAAAGAAGGCCGGACAGAGATCTACTGCTTGATGATGCGTCTGGGGTCGTCGGACTGACGGAGAGGCTCTGAGTTTGAATAGTGCGGGCCACATTGACGATTGACGGAGTCGGTTCGTCCCAATGAATCGGCGCCGCCTCATACATCAATCACTTTACCACCGGGCCCTCATCAGCCGCTGCACTACCGCGTAACTTGAAAATGTTTGTCTCAATAATAGAAGCTCATCTGCTCATGTGGGGCACACCACTGTCTCACTTGCGGGAGATCCGAAGTGCCTCAGCTCCTTAGAGATCAGAAAGGGACGCCGAGAAGAGCAAAAAGGTCTAACAGGAGGTAACATCGAGACAGCGTATCGTGGACCCTCGTGACGAGGAAGAGTACACCAAACGTCATTGAAGAGGATCGCGCGTGTGTGTGTGTGTTTTTTCTTTGTGTGTGTGTTTCTCTTTCTTTCTTTCTGTGGTGTGGTGACGCCCCCCCACCACCAAATTTTTCTGCCGTGTCTCTGCGTTATCATGACGGACCGATGCGTGATTGACCTGAATATATCAATGCATT